GTTTGACAATGGTTTGACAATGGTTTGACAATGGTTTGACAGATAAGCACGGCCACAGATAAGCACGGCCACAGATAAGCAAACACTGGTTTGACTTTGACACTGGTTTGACATTGGCTTGACGATGGTTTGACACTGGTTTGACAGATAAGCACGGCCACAGACAAGCACTGTCACAGATAAGCACAGCCACAGATAAGCACAGCCACAGATAAGCAAACACTGGTTTGACACTGGGTTTGACGATGGTTTGACAATGGTTTGACAATGGTTTGACTCTGGGTTTGACACTGGTTTGACAGATAAGCACGGCCACAGATAAGCAAACACTGGTTTGGCACTGGTTTGATATTGGTCTGACAGATAAGCAAGCACAGAAAAGCTCAGCCACAGATAAGCAAAGACTGGTTTGACATTACGTCGTTGTTGCTGTTGTTGTTATTGTTGTTGTTTTTAATAACTACACTATATTCTTCTCTCAAATTCTTTCATCTTTGACAACCTACCTGCCACTACTCCTAAGGCTATACAGGGGATCCCTGCAAGCATAGCTATCTACCTCTCTTGGTGAAGGGAGGTTACCTGTCAAGGTGGAGGGAGGTAATTGCATGTTTGCCCCTTGCCCTAGTGGTTGAGGGTGCAGGGTTGGGGCCACCGGCGAGGGCCCGACTACCACAAGGACCAAGCATTTGCCAGTAGATGCGCCTCCCTTTTCATCTTCCCCCACCCCCATTGAGTAACAGCAGTGTCCAAGGCCAACACTCTCCCACACACCACATGCAACCCACTCACACTCACAATCACACTCGCACTCTCACACACTTGTTGGCTAAAGACCCTACTAATACTGACTGGGAGGATCCAGCTAACTATCTCAATTGGTTGTCGCCAAGAGTACCGCAGGCAGCCATGGGGATTGAACCCACGACCTCCTGAATGCCACTTGCGTGCCTAACCAATTGAGCTGGGCCAGTGTATTGTTTTTTTTTTTTTTTTTTCCCTCTCGTTTTTAAATAATACAACAACAAAAAAAGGTGTTTTTATTTCTTTTTTTTTCTCGTTTTTAATTACTTCATTAACAAGTCCATTTTTACAGGATGACGAGACATGGCAGGCCATGCTTTCAAAGCTTGAGACGATAATACAAGACAACCCCACTCAGCTCACAGTATATTTCATTCTTCTGCCCCCCGCCCCCCCACCCCCCCTCTCACCCAAAGCCGTTATAAGTGTACGATGCACTTACATCCCCAGTCCCTAAACTGACATCGAGCAATGAGTAGATCGGCAATCCGCTCGGAGAAGGTTCTGGAAGCGTCAGTTCCGCCTCTTGTTCTTCTTCTTCTTCGTCTTCGTCGTCTTCTTCTTCAATGTACTCATCCTCGTCTTCAGAAATAAGTCCAGGTTCATCAACTGCCACGCCCACGCCTTTGTCGTCGTTCCTAGCTGCGTTAGACTCTTCCATCGCGTCCTTTGATGAGAGAGCGCCTGCGGACCAGCCTCTCGCATCCAGCTCATCCACCCAGTTCTGAGCCATCGACACCTGGCGATCGGACGTAGCACAACAACAAAAGCATTCATTGAGTGGGACACGAGTCGCGTAATGATATCGCGTAATGATAATGATCACTTTTCAAAAGAAAGAAAGAAAGGAAGAGAGGAAAACTTTGAAGAAAGCGATCGCGATGGTATCATGTACTTTCATCGGATGCCATTTGGATGGATACCTTCTATTTTTTTTTTAATTCATGAATTTAATAATTTATAGTCTACAATTTATTTATATTTTTTACAATATATATTCTATTACTCTCTTCTATAATTATAAATCTGTCTAGAGTCAAATAGATTGAGAATCATATACAAATTAAATATAGATAAAATAGAATACAAGATAAAAGATATAAAATAATTGTAATCTTGGAACATTCAATCAGAAAATCATCATCATCATCATCATCATCATCATCATCATCATCATCATCATCATCATCACAGAACATGATTGTGGATGACCCAACTGAAGATAGAACGAGACTGAATTTTGTTTTTTCTGCTTCTTTTCTGTTCGTTCTGGTTGTTTAGATTCACACGAAGCAGCCAGAAAGAAAAGAAAAGAAAAGAAAAGATGATTCCGTGCACATTTCACATGGCCCAACTGAAGATAGAATCATAGAACAAGATTGTTATTTCAATTCGCATGAGACAATCAGAAAAAAGGGGGGGGGGGGGAACAATGCGCCGAAAAGACAATTCAATTCATACGATCAAACTGAAGATAGAAGAAGATTGTTCACTCAATTCACAAGAAACAACCAGCGAGATAAGAGAAGACAGCAAAAGACTAGATGGATACTATATATATCATTCATTCCTGCGGTGCGCCATCCACTTGCACCGCGCCACATCAAATGCGCATGCACAAGTGGCGTGCACGCGATGCGCTTCGGTCAGCCCGTCAGTCTGTCTGTCGGTCGGTCTGTCCATCCGTCTGCTTGTCTGTCTGTCTGTCTGTCTGTCTGTCTGTCTGTCTGTCTGTCTGTCTATCTGTCTGTCTGTCTGTCTGTCTGTTTGTCTATTCAATTGACAACATGATCCAATTGAAGCTACCGTCTTCACCCAAATAGAACGCCCGGTCATTATAGCTGTATTTGGTGCAACTTTCAGTCCAGATTCGGCGAAAATTACCGGCCGTTCTATTCGGGCGAAAACGGTAGCCCAAGATTCTTCAATCAACATTCACATGGAAAACACGACCAATTCGAACCACCAGAACTGCTCATTCCATTCCCGGATCTTTGTCCATAAAAAAAATTAAAAAAAAACACAACTTACAAAAAAAAAAAAAAATTATTGAATCCTTGTCGACTTCGCACAAGACCATTGTTGACATCAACTACTCAACAAGAACCAAGATAATAAAATTTTAAATTATTTTTTTTAATTACGATTCGCTACAACTTACAAGACAAAAGTGCGTACTACTCGAAAGTGTTGACATCAACTACTCAACAAGAACCATAGCAATTTGTGTTCGTTCAATGCGCATGCAAACTATGCCGGCAACCATGTGCTACAGAAACAAACACCAACATCATTACACCCACACACTCCTCACAGAACACACTGGAGACCAACATGAAGGGTAGTGATGTCAAATCTGATACAGAGCTGTTGAGCATCAATAGCTGCACTGGACGCCCTAAGTAAGGGGCGAGAAGAAGAGAAATGGATAAGAAGAAGGCGAGAACGCCGAGAAGTAGGTGAGAGGTAGGTGAGAGGTAGGTGAATGGTAGGTGAAAGGTAGGTGACACTACCAGTGCATCTTTTAGGCAGCCCTGTTGAGCATTGACAAAATTTTCACTGGACTGGCTAAAGCCAGAGGAGAGAAGGAAGACCACCCGGAAGTGCATCGGTGAAGATCAGTAGGTAACTTGGTACACCGATGAAGTGTTGAAATACGGACACAACGTTCAAACCATGCCAAGCGGACGGACGTCTGGACCAGAATCCAGACGGTCCGGTTGTCTGGGTATGGGTCCGGTGTCTGCAGCAACATCAGTCTAGCATTCAAACATCGATCGTTCGAAATGGGGAAACAAGCAATATGCATAAGCACACCACTCAGGAGAGAGATAGAAGAACGAGCGCAGGTAATAATTTCAGAAGATACAACATGAAGCACAACGTAGTCAGGCGAAAGACCCTACACCGTGTTTCTGCCGGTCGCCTATCCGGCGTCATCAGGGGTCATGGTACCTGGCGCCCAATTTTGAAAATTTCGGAAAGTTTTTTGGGGGGGCCTAGGACGTTTATCGGGTCCTAGGCCACCCCCCAAAAAATGCCCCCGGTATTTTTTGGCCATTTCAGGGCCTACCGGATGCTTCCAACAGCTCCCTCTGCCGTTGTTCTACGCTGGTAGTTCATCGGATGAGGATGAGTCTGATTCCGAAAATGAAGCGCTGGCTGCAAAGCGCCACAGAACATCATGCTAGAGAGAGAGAGAGAGAGAGAGAGAGAGAGAGAGAGAGAGAGAGAGAGAGGATTTTGGTCAGATCTGAGATCCCGTCTTAGATCTGGTCCTGACCAGATCTCAGATCTGTTCTTAGTACTTCTTACGTAGATCTGAATAACTCTCTTTTTGACAAGCAAAGCCTATTAAAGCTGAAGACGGATCAAATTTCAATCGGTTTTTTGCATAGAAAAAATCTTGCATAACAAAATAATCTATTGCGTGCTTTATCAACTTGCTCGATTGATCTAAATTTTCAATTTTCATATGAATATGAATTAGAAAGTCGAACTTCGAAGTTCGAAGTTCTGTTTTTCTCTGACTTTCGTACTCTTTTCTGAAGTGACTTGGGATTGGTCTGTTGAGAACTGGTTTCAACTTTCAAGTGTTGTGTGAGCCTTTGTGAATGTCTCTGACTCTGTGACAGTATGAAGCTGTCAAGTTGTGAATAGTGAAAGACAATAAGCTGTGTTTAGTACTGTTTGGCAGTGTTTGCTAATGTTTTTCTTTTTTTCTTTTTTTTCGGTCCGGACATTTTCTGTGTCTGGTGTACTGGTCCGGACGGTCCGGGTCCGGCCCAGGTCGGGTTGTTCAGTGCCTGTCCGGATTACCGGACGTCTGGACCAGTCCAGACAAATGTCTGGGCCTCAGTCCAGGCATGTCCAGGTCCGGGTCCACGGTTGGCATCGTTCAAACCTTACAAAAAAAAAAAAGGGGAGGGATGGGAGAACATGGCGGTGAGAGGTAGGCGAGAGGTAGGTGAGAGGTCCGTGAGAGGTGGGTGAGACTACCTGTGCGTCTTTTAGGTAGCCGTTGAGCATTGACAACTCCACTAGACTGCCTCGTCCCTGCCTCCATACAGCGTCGCCATTAACCGGAGAAGCCAACGTGGCAGATTCAGGAACCGAGACGTCAATCTTTACCAAACAACGGCCTGACAAAGTTTAAGACCAGGTTTGATCAGCGGAACAGTAATCGCACACCCAACCAAAAAAAAAAAAAAAAAAAAAAAAGAAGAAGAAATTATTAAACTGTTAAAAAAAAGGAGCTTTATGACAGAAAATATTAAAATTCATAAATACATATAAGTACCTCCCGGGCCGCCGAACGCCACCCGCCACAAACATCCTGAATCACAGGTTAAAGGGCTGCCACCGCTCAACGCATATATGAACCTGGCTGGAATCCTGGAAGCAATTCAATAACATTTTTTTTAAATGGGTTGCACCTTTTTTTAACTCCATGAATTGGGGGGGGGAAAAAGGGGTAAATACTAAATTCCAATAACGTACTGTCGACCTAGCTTAGTCAAAGTTTGTTGTTTCCCAAATTTTAAGAGTCAAAGAGAACGTCCTTCGGGACATCCGTTAAAATTGGAACGATACAGAGAAGGAAGATTAGCATGGCCCCTGCGCAAGGATGACAGGCATAAATCGAGGAATGGTCCGAATGGTCCACTTTTTTTCAGAGTCAAACACTGTGCTAACCATTCAGTCAAATGGGAGTACAAGTGTGTCAAAGTTAGTCAAACACGATTACAAATACCGTATGGCTTTTAGCTCCGGTTACTTCTCATGATTTACCCCGATGGCTTTTAGCTGCGGTTACTTCTCATGATTTACCCCGATGGTTTATGTGCGGTAACTTCTCAGGATTCACCGTATTGCTTTTAGCTGCGGTTACAAATTGAGGCCAACGAAGGTACAACTGTACAAGTGTGTCAAACACATTTACAAATAGAGTCAGATAGGATTGCAAACACAGTCCAGCAGAGTCAAACAGAGTGAAAAGAAGGGGAAAAGGTGAAAAAGAGTCTAAAAGACTAAGAAGCTATGTGACCAGAGTGGCCCGGGACCACTTGCCCGGCCGGGGACAAAAAATGAATTAAAAAAAAAAAAAAAAAAACAATTGTTTCATTTTTATTTTATTTTTTTTGCAAAGAATTTCCGTCCGACCCTGAGGCAAAAGTTGGTCAGTTTATTTTTCTGCACAACATATTTTTGTTCGCATTCTTTTTTTCTTTCTTTTTTTTTATACAGGGACCTTCTCTGGTCCTTGCCTGGCTCCGCGGCCCGGTCAAACAAGCCGACCCAGGCGGCCCACAAAAGAGAGTGAAAACTACTAATTAGTACAAACTAGTAAAAGAGCAAAAAAAACAGTTGTAGTCCTTCGGGAAATCCGTTAAAATTGGAGCGATCCACGCACACACACACAGAGGGGGAGAGAGAGAGAGAGAGAGAGAGAGAGAGAGAGAGAGAGAGAGAGAGAGAGAGAGAAGATTAGCATAGCCCCTGAGCAAGGATGACACGCATTTAGCATAGCCCCCGCGCAAGGATGACACGCATAAATCAAGAAATGGTCCAAATAAATTAAAAAACAAAACAAAACAAGTTAAAAAAACCATTTGTAGCTTTAAACCTTTGCTACCTCTGCTTCTACATAGGATGAGTAGGACAGGGGATTGGGTTCACACAACTTCAGATCATAGTTCCGGCGCACTGCCCCGATGCGCGATACGGTGCGGTGTGCCGTGCGGGATGTGCTCAGGGACACCGCACGCGCATGTGCGCGCGCGCGCGCACTGGGCGCACCATGCACACAGTGCACCGAGATGCGGTGGTGCACAGGGCTGCGCACTGTGCACAGTGCTTTTTTTTTTTTTTTTTTTTTTTGTGCGTGTGTGTGTGTGTGAGAGAGAGAGAGAGAGGGAGGGAGCGGGATACGTGAGATTCAGGGCCTCGCTCCACAACTCTCCATGTGCACAAAGGAAAAAAAAAATGACGGTGTATCTTTCCATGTTCTAGCAGAAGATTCATTCTCATTTTGCACGTTTGGAGAGTAGTGCAGCGACGCCCTCATTCTCGTGTTGCACTCTCCACTACACGTGGTAGGAAATCCAATGGACCGTTTCAAGTTTCAACGGATTTCTTGGCACGTGTAGTGGAGGGAGCCCAGCTCACCAAATGTGGAAAATGAGAATGAATCTTCGGTTAGAACATGGGTAGATACACAGCCATATTTTTTGTCTTTTGTGAATGTGGTGAGTAGTTGAGCGAGACCCTATAACGGCCATAGCACATGCGCCTCGCCCGACTACGCACCACATACACAAAAGACACAAATATGGCTCTGTATCTTCCCGTATTCTAGAGGAAGATTCATTCTCATTTTGCACATTTGGTGAGTGGGGCTCTCTCCACAACCCGTCCCAGGAAATCCAACGAGCGCTTTCAAGTTTCAGCAGATTTCGTTGCATGTGTAGTGGAGACACCCACTCACTTTGGCGATTGGGGCTCTCCCACAACGAAATCTGCTGAAACTTGAAAGCTTCCGTCACTTTCTGACATGTGTAGTGACAGAGCGGTTTCAAGCTTCTGTCACTTTCTGACAGATTCTGCTGAAACTTGAAAACTTCATGTTTCTGGACGGAGGAGGGGTATAAAAGGTAAGTTTCTGGTTCCCTTTTTCTTTTTGCAAAAGCACCGAGTTCTTGTCGTTTTTGAATTCCCAAAATGGAAAGAACCAAGCTCAGCCAACACACAGACATTGCCTTGCGGGCCAAAAAAAATTCCTGGCCAATCTATCATTTTCCGCAGGGCTTGGGATCTTCAATTCAGCGCCCCCCCCCCCAAGTTTTTTTGTTTTTTTTTTGGGGGGGAACCCCTATGTTAGCCGTTGCGGCGCACCACATGCGCGCGCGACGTGCGCAACTGCCGCGCACGTGATGCAATGCGCAGTGCGCCGCATGTGCGCAACCGAGAGGCGGTTAATGGAAGGCCCAAAATTCGGCAAAGCAAATTTTTCACCGAAACTGTCATATTTCCCTGAACTTTTACTCTTTTCTCACTTTTTCTTTTTGCCTGTTATATATGTGTTTTAGGGTATATTTACCGCTTGTGGAGAGGCGGTTAATGGAAGTGGCGCAACCATGCTGCAGAGTGTTTTCAAGGTTTTCCAGATTCGACAGGTAATTGAATTGGTTGGGCTTAAAGTTTTAAACCACCACAGTCTTCCCCCGAATACAACCTACGGTCATTATAGCTGAATTTGGTCTATCTTTCTGTCTAAATTCAGTTATAATGACCGTACGTTGTATTCGGGGGAAGACTGTAGTACCTCTGCCAATGTTGGGAAATTATGAGTTTTTGCCAATTCCCAAAGCAGAATTCGGGGGTGGGACCCAGGGTCGGCGAGTCCCATAAATCTTAGTTTTCTTTTGCCCGCGCGTGAAAGGAAAAGGAAAAAAAAAACAAAAAAGCTTTCTGTACTGCAATGATGTCGGGCAGGGTAGTCTAGGGAGGCCGTGCTCAGAGTCTTCCTCTACAGAATGCATCTTACAGCAAAGACAGTCAAATTCTGAAACTTGCTGTTTTCTTTTTTTTCTTTCTCGTGTGTTTGTTACGAGTCCCCTGCCGACGAGGCAGGGCGGAATCCGCGACCTAGTCAAGCTGTGTTTCCTCAGAGGATTGTAACTCTGATCGCACTGACACTTAGAGGAATGTATCCAGCCATTTTCACGGCCGAATCCGTGTTTCCACTTTTTTTTTTCTTGTTTTGTGTTTCTGGAATCTGACAATCTGAATCCGTAATCTGCTCAATCTGTGTTTCCTCAGAGGATTGTAAACCCTGATCACACTGGCACTTAAAGAGGAATGTATCCAGCCATTTTCACGCCCAAATCCGTGTTTCTGTTTTTTTTTTTCTTGTTTTGAGTTTCTGGAATCTAACAACCTGGCCACGACGGGGCTGAGATGCCCTCACCTCACTGAGGGAACACTCACACTACCACTTCCAAGAATGTATAGAACTGCAATCACGGCCGGAGCTTTGTTTCCTTTTTTTTTTTTTTTTCTTGTTTTGCGAGTTTCACGCCCCCAACTTTTTTTTTGCCTGTTTGTCCCGCGAGAGTACCATAAAGAAAATGGAGTGGGGCCCAGGCTCGGCAAAACTCGGAGCGCAGTGAAAAAAAATCAGGGTCGGCAAAAACAGGCTCGGAGGTACAAGTGGTTTAAAGAATCAGCCTTTAAAAAGAAGAAAAAGGGTTATGGTGGATAGGACAGGGAACCTTTAACTAGTCTCCCGCTGCTCTTTGGCGGCCCTGGCTCGCTGTGATTATCTTATCTCATGATTCTACTTTTTCCTTAGGCTTGATGGTGATAAACAACTGCACTGGTGACCTCCCAGAATTTAAAGGGGGTTGCGTTCTCTTAAAAAAAAAAAAAAAAAAAAAAAAACTCTGGTGATGCTTCAGAGAATGAATCTGGACTCTTTATGGAGCCAGAGACAGACAAGTTATGTATTACTAATTTACTACTATTACATCATTAACACCCTCACGCTTGCGCTGGTTTAGCCCGCTTTAGCCCGCTTAGTCGTCGGCTTTTCATTCCTCAATAGGGCAGCCTAAAAGATGCACACGTCCTCTCCCCTACCCCTGACCTACCTCTCACCTATATCTCTCCTCTCTCTCACCCACCTCTCACCTCCCTCTCACTGATGTTACAGACAGATTTAGTGTAAAAAGTACTAAAAACTTTTTCTAAAAACAATAAAGAGTGGAAAGAAAAAAAAAAGTTTCAAAAAACAATAAAGAGTGGAGACAAAAAAACGCATGCCAGTGGAAAAGGAACCAAACTGCTGCTACGCAGAACAGGAGCAGCTTGGTTTAAAAAAATAATAATAATAATAATAATAAAAATAAAAATAAAAATAAAAAATCATCAAGGTTTCACATCAGCAGACTCAGCACTGGAAAACCAAATGCGACGTAAGCATCTGGTGATCCTGCTTCTTTATTTTTTTCTTCTGTTTTTTTTTTTTGTTTTTGATCCTGCTTGTTGCTTCAGAGAGTGTGTTTGTTCTGTAAGACGGATTCAGTGACGTGTCTTTCAGGACATCCGTTCAAATGGGAATGATACAGAGAGAGAAGATTAGCATGGCCGCTGCACAAGGATGACACACATATATCGAGAAATGGTCCCAAAAAAAAAAAAAGAGATTCAGTGATGTAAGTTGACAACAAGCACAGTCACTGAAACAATCAGCACACAAAAAAAATTAAAAAAAAAATAGAAACGATTCAAAAAGGCTTCAAAAACACTCACCAGGACGTATACGGTACGTTGGAATATCTACTGCTTCCCTCTTCCCAGTGACCCGCTCCTCCTCGAGATCACCCTTCTCCCTGGGGACGTCAGTATTCAAACGTTCGCCTTCATTTGTTCTGCGATAGAGTTGCAAAGAGAAGGGATTTGTAATTCACTCACTCGCAGCGCACAGTCGTTACATCCGGGGCCGTAAATGCCGAGCTCTATTCCATGATCTAGATCCACATTTCATAATTCACTTAAATAAGTTAAATTCAGATAAATGTAAATGCAAAGGTCGCTTGAAGAGACAACCCTCATGCACACAAGCACTGAAAACGAGAGAGAGAGAGAGAGAGAGAGAGAGAGAGAGAGAGAGAGAGAGAGAGAGAGACAGAGTGAGAGACAGAAACAGCCAGAGAGGGACACAGAGACAGACAGAGAGAGACAGACAGAC